TGGAGTGTAGAGTGTTTAGTGTAGAGTGTAAAGTGTAGAGTGTGGAGTGTAAAGTGTGGAGTGTAAAGTCTAGAGTGTGGAGTGTGGAGTGTAAAGTGTGGAGTGTAAAGTGTGGAGTGAGGAGTGTAAAGTGTGGAGTGTAAAGTGTGGAGTGTGAAGTGTGGAGTGAAAAGTGTGGAGTGTGGAGTGTAAAGTGTGGAGTGAGGAGTGTAAAGTGTGGAGTGAGGAGTGTAAAGTGTGGAGTGTGAAGTGCAAAGTGTGGAGTGTGGAGTGAGGAGTGTAAAGTGTGGAGTGTGGAGTGTAGAGTGTAAAGTATGGAGTGTAAAGTGCGGAGTGTGGAGCGTAAAGTGTAGTGTGTGGGGTCTGGAGTGGAAAGTGTAGAGTGTGGTGTGTAGAGTGTGGAGCGTGGAGTGTAAAGTGAGGAATGTAAAGTTTGGAGTGTGGAGTGAGGAGTGTAAAGTATAAAGTGTGGAGTGTGGAGTGCACAGTAAAGTGTGGAGTGTGGAGTGCGGAGTGTGGAGTGGAAAGTGTAGAGTGTGGAGTGTGGAGTGTAAAGTGGGGAGTGTGGAGTGTGGAGTGAGGAGTGTTAAGTGTAAAGTGTGGAGTGTGGAGTGTAAAGTGTAGAGTGTGGAGTGTGAAATGTGGAGTGGAAAGTGTAAAGTGTGGTGTGTAGAGTGTGGAGTGTGGAGTGTGAAATGTAAAGCGTGGAGTGTAGTGTAAAGTGTAGAGTGTGGAGTGTGGAGTGTAGAGTGTAAAGTGTAGAGTGTAAAGTGTAGAGTGTGGAGTGTAGAGTGTAAAGCGACGAGTGTAAAGTGTGGAGTGAGGAGTGTAAAGTGTGGAGTGTGGTGTGTAAAGTGTGGAGTGTGGAGTGGAAAGTGTGGAGTGTGAAGTGTGGAGTGTAAAGTAAGGAGTGTGTAGTGTAAAGTGTGGAGTGTGGAGTGTAAAGTGTAGAGTGTGGAGTGTAAAGTGTAGAGTGAGGAGCCAGGAGTGGAAAGTGTAGAGTGCAGTGTAAAGTGTGGAGTGTGGAGTGTAAAGTCTCAGGTGAGGAGTGAGGGGTGTAAAGTGCAAAGTTCAAAGTGTGGAGTGCAAAGTGTAGAGTGTGGAGTCTAAAGTGTAAATTGTGGAGTGTGGAGTGTATAGTGTAGAGTGTGGAGTGCGGAGCTTCCCCCATCGACACGGCGACGCCACAGGAAAACCAGAGACTCGAGACGAGACACGTGGGAGCACCAAAACGAACATTTCGCGCGAGACTTCCTCCAATTTTGATATTTTCGCAACGTTATCAAACAGGTTGGAATGTCAGAAAGTGCCACGCCTGCCACGCAAAACGACAGGACAACCTGCTTGGACACATTCGAATAGGAGATGTTTTCCAGCTTCCCCCATAGACACGGCGACGCCGCAGGCAAACCAGCGACTCGAGACAAGATACGTGGATGCAGAAAAACTAGGATTTCGTACGAGACTTCCTCCAATTTTGATCTTTTCGACACGTTATCAAACAGGTTGGAATGTCACAAAGCGCCACGCCTGCCACGCAAAACGACATGACAACTTCCTTGGAAACCTTCGAAAAGGAGAGGTTTTGCGGCTTCCCCCATAGACACGGCGAACCCACAGGAAAACCAGAGACTCGAGACGAGACACGTGGGAGCACCAAAACGATCATTTCGTACGAGACTTCCTCCAATTTTCACAGTTGGCAACATAACAAAAAGACAAGTTTTGCAGCTTCCCCCATAGACACGGCGAGGCCACGGGAAAACCAGAGACGCGAGACGAGACAGGTGGGAGCACCAAAACGAGCATTTCCTGCGAGACCTCCTCCAATTTTCACTCTTTGCAGCTTCAAAATCGACGTTTTCCTACGAGTTTTCCTTAGAACCTGAAAATTTGCAACCTCAAAATCGATGTTTCGTGCGAGGCTTCCGTCAATTTTCAGCACATGTCAGAAAATGCCACGCCTGCCACGGAATTTGCACCTTGTCGCCACTTGACGCAGCCCTGCCAATGCGATTTGCAAAAAACACGCAACATGACACGTCTAAAGTGCTGCGCCTGCCACGAAAAATGGCGATGGACACGTCCAAAGTGCTGCGCCTGCCACGAAAACTGCAACACATCTTCTGAAAACGTCGCAAAAGTATTGCGCCTGCCACGCAAAACGACTTTCGACACGTTCCAGAACACGTCTGAATGTCACGAAGTGCCACGCCTGCCACGCGAAACGAAGCAACGACACGTCTGAAACCTCCAAAAATTACCACCTCTGCAGAACTTCCCATAGGCACGGCCATACGGTCCTCGCGCGGACGGTTGCGAACGGTTGCGGACGGTTGCGGACGGTTGCGGACGCGGACGCAACGTCGAGCGAACACACTCCAACCCCCAGACCCCCAGAGTGAAACGGGAACCCTTGCTACGCATTCGGGAATAATCCCCAATGGTGCCATCAATAAACATCAATAAACATCAATAAACCAAGTAAAGGTTGAAGTTGATGACCTGAAGCCGCTCAACAGAACCTCATCGTTACTTCAGTTGGATTTTGGTCACGGTAACTGAGAGACACGTCTCTTGCTGATTCAATTTTTAATCCTTCTCACGGTGAAATCTAGGATTGCTGAACTCCAGATGGTATGATGGTTACCCTCTGGTTATGACTAACAGTTCGCCATGGAAAGATCCACCATTTTTCATAGGTAAACCATCTATTTCAATGGGCCATTTTCCATAGCTATGTCAAATAACCAGAGGGTAAATCAAATCCTCAAGTTTCGTTGCCCATTCCGACTGCTTAAAGCCACGAGTTTCGGCTGCTTCAATCCCATCTAAAGAGATCCCCCAAATGTAAGAATTCTTCTGGTTGGTGGTATACCTACTCCTCTGAAAAATATGAGTCAGTTGGGATGATGAAATTCCCAACTGTTTCTGGAAAGTCTAATCAAATTCCATGGTTCCAGTCGCCACCAACCAGTCTTGATTCTTACTGCTTAAAATCCCCCATCTTAAATCTACCATCTGGTTATTTAACATAGCCATGGAAAATTGCCCATAGAAATAGATGATTTTCCCAGCTAGAAACCTCCATTTATAATGGATTTTCCATGGCTATGTTAAATAACCAGATGGTATTCTCATCCCCCATCTGTTGGTCCCCATTCTTCCACCACTTCCCATGGGATCCCACGGAACCGCTCCAAAGGCCTGGCTCCGGCCGGAGAAACTCACTTCGGATCAGGATGGGACGTCGAGTTGAAGAGAACAACAAGTGAAGAAAACCATAAAAACCATGTAGTTTTTATAGTTTAACCATAAAAATTGTGGTTTTCCATAGTTTTTGTATGTTTACCAGAGGGTATGTTAGTTTACTAGTTTAAGCATATACTATAGAGTACTATACCAGGTTTCGTTTACCACAGCATCGTGGTTACTTGGGCATCGAACACTGGCTTTTTTTGGCCGGTGAAACATCTGGTTGGTGGTTTGGAACATGTTCTACTTTTCCATATATTGGGAATTTCATCATCCCAACTGACTTTCAAATTTTTCAGAGGGGTAACGGTATACCACCAACCAGATATAGTACTATACTATAGTAGTTTAATACATCATTTTCATGTTAGGAAATATTGGAAGTATAGTTAACCAGGAAATAACCAGGAAATATTGGACTTGGACATAATACAGCAAGGTGGTGCCCCAGTTCGGAATCGCTAAGTTGGTGAACATAACTCCAATTTCACTATGGTTTATGGCAGATATAACTATAGTATTCATGGGGTGTATAAACCAACAAACATCACTGGGGGGCACCGTCCTGAGGTGACCAGAAAAAATTGGACTTCGACACAGCAAAAATATGGTGATTTCACCCAGCAAACATCGGGATTTTTCAACGGCCAAACAAGGGGAATGAGGCAACAAAAGTGATGAAACCTTGGGTTCAACAGGGTGGTGCCCCATAGTTAGCTAAGTTGGTTTATAAGTCCAATAACTATGGTTTTTGTTGGTGATATATCGAACTAGTTACTGGGATTATAACCCATCTATAACTGGGGGGGCATCACCTTGAATGACAAGTTGAAAATTACAGGTACCTAGCATTGAGGTACCAGTCTATATAAGGAATATCATGTATATAAGAGAAGACTACCCCAAAAAAACGCTTGGATAGGTTTTAGTACCTCCATTCTAGGTACCAGGCAGAGGTAGTACTGGGCTTGGTAGTTATGGCTTGCGTGAGGAATACTGGTACTGAAACATGGCAATTGATAAACAAAAAGAGCCGATTTTCCCCATTCAAATCATAGATGTCCTTTTCCCATTGCTTGGTTGATTAATAGAAGGGTTTTTGTTTACCCCTTTAACAACAGGAAAATGATGATAGATGGTCTACCAAACCGACCCCTCTATCTTTACCAAAAGGACATGATTGATTCAAACAGTCTATGACAATTCCTGACATAAAATCTCCGTACATTCACCATCATTCCAGCAACGTCGCATAAATTGGTCGTAACAAGTCATGTCTCCCAAATCAATAATGTCCTTTTGGTAAAAAATAGAGGGGTCGGTTTGGTAGACCATCTATCATCATTTCCCTGTTGTTAAAGGGGTAAACAAACCCTTCTATTAATCAACCAAGCAATGGGAAAAGGACATCTATGTCCCAAATAGATCAGAGAGGATTTCCATCAGCCATGTTTGGACTACTGGGAGGATGGAATTGGAGGTTGACACCAGTTGACACCTCCAAGTTTTCTCACCGAACTCCCATAAAATCGCCCCATGGAATCTCAATCCATTCGGAGTCCGATTGTTTTTGGCATGAAAAAAAGCTGGCGCAACGGGGTGCCAGCTAAAAGACCAACGTATGGTTCGGCTGTCTCCCCATGGTTCTATCGTTAACACAGCAGCCCCAAGTACCCCTCCGCCCATCGAAGCGGCTTAACCTTTTCGCAGCCAAGGTCACACTGCAGCAGGTGGCAGTGGACACGTCAGCAACGGCTGCTGTACTGCACAAAGATATCTGCATTCATCGCCAGAAGCCTGGACAGGCCGGGCAGAAATGATAGGATTCCATGGGTAAAAAGGCGAAAAAAAAAACGCAGAAAAAATGGGATGGATGAAGTCACAAACCATGGTATTTTGTCAAAAAAAACCTGTCTTTATCAAATCCCAAGAATGAGATGTGCAAACCAACTAGCAATGGAACTTAGCCATCAAAATATGGCTTGTGACCACATAGTTATGGATATCGGATAGTTTCAAATCACACCAATGACAATTGAAATCTCCGAAAAGGTACTCCAGTTCCCAGGTTGAATCTTTCCAACCACCTTTCCTTCAATCTGTTCCAAACATCTACTGTCCTCCTTTCACCTGGGAAGGGCTTGAAAGTGACAAATGTTTCATGCAAATGATCCCAACCAACCCATTTTTTAGAGAAAAACCCAAAGTTTCCGAAATAATTGAACAAATTCTTACTGGTGCTAAACGTAGGGAATGGATGGGTTGCTGGGGGTTGCTGGGATTATTATGGATAGTTAGCCAGTGGATCATTCCCTCATTCCCTACTAAGCACAAGTAAGATTTTGTTAACACTTCAATTACCATCTGGTTATTTAACATAGCCATGGAAAATAGCCCATAGAAATAGATGGTTTACCTATAAATGGTGGATCTTTTTCGACATCTTCACGTCAAAAAAGGCTCAAAACCCTCAGTTTTTTACAATTTTGACTTCGAAATGTGCTTCGCGCCACAACGGCGTGCACTTTTTCGACACTTTTTCGACATCCGAAGCTCCAAAAGTGGTCCGAGACCGTCAGTTTTTAACACTTTTGACTTCAAAATGTGCTTCGCGCCACAACGGCGTGCACTTTTTCGACATCTCAACTTCCAAAAGTCGCTCCGAGAATGGTGTGTTTTGTACATTTTGACTTCGGAAATGTGCTTCGCGCCACAACGGCGTGCACTTTTTCGACATCATAACTTCCAAAAGTGGTCCGAACCTGGTGTGTTTGTACATTTTGACTTGGAAATGTGCTTCGCGCCACAACGGCGTGCACTTTTTCGACATCGCAACTTCCAAAAGTGGTCCGAGACCGCCAGTTTTTAACACTTTTGACTTCGAAATGTGCTTCGCGCCACAACGGCGTGCAATTTTTCATCGCTCCTGTGGCCAGCTGGCTCCGCACCAGCCGCTTTAGCGAGCCTACTTTTCGACCCTCCGGAGCCACAAATCATTGGAAAAACACAGCGTTTCGCGACTTTCCTACCTTTTCGCGCATCTGCATCTTCTTTCTTCTTACTCTTTCTCTTCTGATCTTCTCTCTTCTAATCTTCCTCTTCTCTCTGCCTCTGCCCTGCTCTGCTTTTCATCTGTCCATATTGTCGGAAGTTTGACTTCTAAACTTCCTTCGATTATTGATAGTTATTGTGGATCATTCCCTCATTCCCTACCAAGCACAAGTAAGATTTTTTTTTTAAACTTCAATTATCTGATAATTGCAGGTATCAAAGATATCGAAAATGGTCATGTTCCATTGGGAAAATCTTTGCCCTCATTATTCCAAATCGGAAAAACAAAAAACAAAACGATACAAACCCCTTTGATCCGATGGATGTTCCAGAGCCATGACCCAGAAAAAATGGCAGAGGTCCAAAAAAAAAACAATCCAAATACCCTCTGGTTATGTCAAAATATCTATTGAAAATGACCATTTATAGTGGATTTTCCCATTAAAAATGGTGATTTTCCATAGTTATGTTAGTTTACCAGAGGGTACTCCGATCGGATTTCCAAGTTCCATTTCTGATTTCTAGAGGGAATGGGATGATTACCCTCTGGTAAACGTTAACAAAAAACGATGGAAAATCACCATGCTATTAATGGGTAAATCAACTATTTCTATGGCCATTTCCAATAGCTACGTTAAATTACCAGAGGGTATTGACTATCGATGGTTGGATCAATGTGGATCATTCCCGAATTCATTCCCTGCGTAGTAAAACGCACCAGTAAGATCAGGATGATTCTGATTCGAGGTGCACGATGACACCCGGATTTCTGGGTCCATTGGGCGATCTGGTGATATTTTTTGTAGATGAAACCTTACTGTCCTTGTGGGTTTGACCACGTTGACCATGAACTCAAAACAAATGTGAAAAACATGGATCTAACTGATTCTACCATAATTGAACATCAATCCTATGGTTATTTCTGGTCGATGTCATTTAAGCAACACCAATAGCGACACGCCTCAGCCCTCTTTCGGGAGGCCAGGGTTCGCCTGCCATTGAGCCCATCCCATGAAACAATAGTTGGCTACCCATCACAAGTATGGGCTGGAAAACTATCCTCGGTAAATGCCGTAGTACAACATCCCAGATACAAGAGGGCAAAAACGGCTGAATAATGAAGTAAATCACCCATTTACCTTTATACATGTTAGATTGAAGAAACCCTGATTTTGCCAAAGCTCCAGTTTCCCATACCAGTTTTGCTATTTAACCTCTGGTAATTTAACAGTTCGCTAAAGATGGTGATTTTCCAGTACGCAAACTGTGAGTTTACCAGAAGGTTTTCAGAAATGGCTCATCTTTTAGATAGATGATTTACCTACAGGATGGTGCCATTGGGTGGGCTATATTAGCCGTCTGTATGTATATATATATACATAGTATGTATTTATGTAACCATTTGGGAAACCAGATTTACCAAAATGATAATGATTAAAAACATGATAACCGGGATTTACAATTATAGAATTCACATGTTTACTATTATGATTGAATTTAATGATAACCCCTTTACCGGTGACCGGGAGCAGCGGTTTATCCCCTATGTTGTTAGTAATTGATGATCAAACCGAGGGGTGGAACGGAGCCAAGTTGCCACCTGGGCAATGATCATTGGCAAAACTGGTAAACTCATCATAATTATGGACCATAGTTGGAGTTATAGACCAATAAAATGTATCATAGTCCATAGTCTAGTCCATAGTAGACTAAATAGTTGGTCTATAAAAAACCATAGTGCCATAGTGAAATTGGTTTATTGGTTTATAAACCCCATTAACTAGTTCGATATATCACCTCTAAACCATAGGTACTGGAGTTATAGACCAATAGTGCCATAGTTGTTGGAGTTATAGACTCACCAACTGATTGCTTGCTATCGAACGGGGAATGGGGGAAATGGGGGATTTCCCCCATTTCTTCCCGTCGAATTGAAACTTTGGCTTGCAACGGTGTCACAGAAATCCCAAAGTTTGTTGGTTTGTCCCCATTACCCTCTGGTAAACTAACATAACTATGGAAAATCACCATTTTCAATGGGAAAATTACCAGAGGGTATAACTATGGTTATTAATCATTTATTTATCCCATCTAATTATTCAATATTATTCATATATAGTATAACTATGATTACAATAACTATGCCCTATGGATCCAGTTGTACCTTCTTAGGAAGTGGGACTGGGGTATAATTTACTATAATTTGGAGGCTTTTTTGTACCTTCTCAGACAGTGGCCATGGATCCAGAGGGATGATTACAAATTATGAGTTTATCCCATCTAATTATTAATATTTAGTAAACATGAGTTAATCCCATTAATCACTAACCCCATGTCCATAATTCCATTATTAATCCCATTGTCCTCATTCATTTATCCCATTCATTCCATTCTTTACCCCATTGGGAAAAAACAGTTATAATGGGATTACCCATCAATCTTCAAAGACAAACCCAGAACCCAGCATCGCCTGAGGCTTCTTCCAGGCGTCGTAAAAGTTCCTGAAACTCCACGCTATCGATTCGCCTGCAGAGCCAGATGCCCTGTGGGCAGTTGCTGCGCCAACCTATCATGTTTTTTTCCAATGGGATAAAGAATGGAATGAATGGGATAAATGAATGAGGACAATGGGATAAATATCATGGAATTATGGACATGGGGTTAGTGACTAATGGGATTAACTCATGTTTACTATATATGAATAATTAGATGGGATAAATGAATGATTAATAACCATAGTTATAATGGGAGCAAGCCAATAAACCTATCATTTAAGGGCTCCGCCACCTCTGTCCCAGTGGCCATGCGCCCTGTCGATGAGTCGATGAGCGGTGGCAGCTCGTAAACGTTAACAAAAAACGATGGAAAGTCACCATTGTTCATGGGTAAATCAACGAACTGAATGGGCCATGTTCCATAGCTATGTTTAGTTAATCGCCATGCTATTAATGGGTAAATCAACGAACTAAATGGCAATGTTCAATAGCAAACTGCTGGTTCACCAGGCCGGGTAAGTTCTTGTGCCTCATGTGCACTGGCCAAAGGACCCGCAGCATAAAAATGCGGCGTTCAATGCGATGTGTGAGGTCTCTGGGATCCCGAAGGTGTCTGCGTCGGACCATTTTTTGCAGACCATAGGACTGGTGATGACTTGGCGATGGTTTGTGAAATTGGATGTACCACCCCTGTTTGCAGTTGCTGGGAGTTGAAGGAACAACAAAAATAAAAAGACATCAGGAACCTGATATTTCCCCAACACACATCACCTTCAGTTGGAGGGTTAACCACCAGATATCCACCACATCAATTGATGATATTCCTATATATTCCTGTTTCATTCACACTTTGGTTGGTTCAATGGCTGACATGTTTGCTTATTAAACCCCAACGACCCCTAAGTTCCGAAGCTTCTCCCGCCCACTGTGACACCTGAGGTTAGACCCCCGATGAAGCCCGCGATGAAGCAATGGATTGCTAAGGGAAAACGCATGGAGTTCCAACATCACAAAGACATTGTTGAAAGGGCATAGAATTTCTAGTTGCCGCAAGAATTGCATCCTAGGAAAAAACATATATATATATATATATGTATATATATATATATCATAAAGAAACTTGACAAATATCTAACCATCACTTCCCCAGTGGTTTCTTCAAAAACCCAAAAGGGGCCTTTGGTGTCGCACGATCTCCAAGACGAAGAGCACGAAGAAACGCAACTCGGCCAAATCCTGCAAAAGTCTACCAGTTAATCAACGAACTCACTGGGCCTAGGTGAACTTCCCGCAGGGTAAAGTGATTTTTATTGATACATGTTTTATATATTTATTATAACAAATACCAGATTGAAACGTGATATGTATGTATATATATATATACATATATGTACAAATATATGCTATATATCTGGATAAATTATCATGAAGGTTTAGGCTCTGGCCTTCCCGCGGCGACCTTGTTGTCTCTGTGCGGCACGAATAGGGCCATGCCATGGGTCTCTTGCCGATTGCTGATGCCCTTGTGGTCTTGATGACTGCTGGGCTTGGCTTCTTCTATGTCGGCCTGCTTTGTGACACCTACATCACTAACACCATGATGATGAGGGTGGTCCCCATGGGAATCTTGCCTCTGACCTGTGTGCTATCTGGCTTCTTGTGGACATTGGGGACCATGGTTCCACAGGCTTTGGCACTGTCATCGGCGACTTTGAGTATGGCCTGTGGCTGGTGGTTTCAGATGTTACAGTTGCACATGGATGCCTTGAGGTTCCCTGGCTCGAACAGGGTCATGCCATGGTCCGGTCTATGTTGCCGAATGCTGCTGCCCTGGCAGCAATTGGATGCCTCGAGGTCCACCGGTCGAAATTGCTGATAGGTCGGAGGCTCACTACCTGGGACATCATTTGCTCAGTGGAATTCTGTCAATTGGAACCGGAAGGCTTTGGTCCTTACGCCTTTGCTAAAGACTTTCTGCCTATTCCTCATGAGTAGCCATTCTCTGAGAAGCTTTTGATCTGGAATGCGAGCCAATGCCCACCTTTGGGCACTCCGATCTGGAGATTTATGCAATGGAGATCGATATTATCCAGCCTTGGTTGGTCAATTCAGAGAAATCTGAGGTAAAGACTGTTTGTTCAGTGTACGTTGCGAGGCGACGACATTATCCTGCTGTGCCAATACTGACCACTCAGCAGCGGCAACTATGCAGTTTGGTGCTTTTGTCTCTCTCGAGCTGGTTTGAACAGGGCGGTCGGAACTGTTGTGATTTTGAATTCCAAGCCGGTTGGATCCAACCTACTGCAATCGAGTGTCAATTCGCCTTCTACTTTGGCGCTGTTCCCCAAAGCGTGTCTCTTGATGGGACGTTCAAGCTGACTTCGGCATTGGATGGTTTGGCATTGATGCTTGAATGGTGGTTCTAGTGTCATGATATTGCGGTTGGTTTTGAGCCTTGCTGACGGCCAGCCTGTCAGAGTGAGCTCTGTGACGATGACCTTCCTTGAGCCAATGAGCGGTTTTTTTGGTCAATAGACCGCAGCTTCTCTCAATGTGACCGTATTGAGTGTTTTGACGTTGGGGAAAAACCCCAGGAGTAGTTAATGACCATTGACAGTTGTGACTTGCCATGGTAAAACGCCACTGGGCAATCACAGATACGGTGCTGTTGTTATTCTGCCTTGAATTCCAGAGTGGTTATAGTCATGGATGACGATACAGTTGTTGGTGCACGCACCCTGCAATCAGAGTGCGTGCACTCCTTTTGTGACGTTATTTCTTGCCATCGGTCGTAGCTTCACTTAGGTCGGGCTGCGAACCTTCTGCACAGAGGAAAAGGATAAATTATAATGACCTCACTGCGACCTCACTGGAAACGTGGCTTGTACTGGCAATTATCCCAATATAGCCTTATTTCAGGTTAGCGGGTTGTTAATATTTGCACAGGCATATGTAAATAAACATATATATACACAAATGTGTGTGTGTGTGTGGGTGTCACATATACCTGGATAAAATATAGTAATTCACTAACCTGAAATAATGCTATCTTGGGGATGATTCCCCTTACTAACTATGATTATAGTGAGGGAGAACAGTGAGGTCGTTATAATTTACCTAGATATATATAGACATACAATACAGGGTCACCTTTGCATATTTGTATGTCTATGTGTTCGTGTGTGTGTGTGTATTCGCATGGAGGTTGTACTGTCAATCCAAGTGGGGGCTGGAGTGATCAATACGCGCGAAGCGCCCAAGAGAAATACGCCAAATGTAGCACCAAGCAGCCTATCTATAGCTCCAATAACTATGGTTTATAGGTGATATATCTATAATTCTATAGTTAATGGTGTTTATAAACCAATTTATATACTGGTTGGTGGTTGACCTACCATCTTGCAAAATGATGGAGTTCGTCAGTTGGGAAGGATGACATCCCATATGAAATGGAAAATAAAATTCATGTTTGAAACCACCAACCAGAGGGTATATCGGAAATTCACAAAGACCCTGAAAAGGCAATGCAAATACGACCACTGCCACAGCCATGAGTCACCACATCTTTCCGTCACACGGCTGAAAGGAAACATCGCGGACCAAGTCGCTGCGATATCAAAGGTTCTCTCCACTCAAACAGCTCATAAACCATAGAAGTCACCAAGTTGTAAGCCAAGGCTCAAGGACTGATCATATCATATCCCCACTATATCCATCTATATCTATCTATTTATATCAAATATTGAACAGACACTGTTGGATCCTGTTCTTGGGCGTCTGGGCGTCAGTTTGGCCATAGAAGTCGCCAAGTTTCGGCCCGGTGGCCCGCATGGGATGGCAGACAGCGATCGATGAAGGGCGCAGATGTGTTGGTCTGTTGGCCTCTGAAAATGATGACATTTCCAACTGTTTCTGGAAAGTCATAAAATTCCATGGTTCCAAACCACCAATCAGGATACATATGTAACTATAAGGTTATATCATCCTATATGATTTATGTCTAGGATTTAAAAAAAAAAAAAACTATGGTTATATATGGTTATATGTAGTTATATGATGACGTTTTAAATTGGGATAAGCTAACTATGCTTATTTAAGCATCATTCCCATGGATCCCGAGTCGATCCCAAGTCGATCCCGAGTCCTGGCTCCGTGTCTCCAGAAGATCAAAGTCAGCTTCCTCCGGGTGTCCATGGTGCCGTCTGACTAATCCAACACGGGAAGTTCTGAAAAAGAGATTCCTACAAGGTGGTGCCCCCCCAGTTATAAATGGGTTATAATCCCAGTAACTATAGATATATATCACCTATAAACCATAGTTATTGGACTTATAAACCAACTTAGCTAACTATGGGGCACCACCCTTTAGATATGTTATCTTATCTGGTTGGTGGTTTTAAGATGTTTTAACCATCTTGAAAAATAGGACTTCGTCAATGGATTCTCCATGTTAATAATGGGAAACATACCAAAAAATATGGAAAATCACCAAAAAATAGATATGTTATCTTATATAGGTCTAAATCACATGCTGGTTTATCTGGTTGGTGGTGCAATAACCATCTTGAAAAATATGAGCTCGTCAATTGGGAAGGATTATCCCATATATGTCTAAATCACAGTTGGGATTTATGGACAAGACCATTTTTGGGGTTTGCCCAGAAAGAGGCGCCACATTACCCCTCAAAAAACAAGTTGGAGAAGCGTAAAACCCAATCCCAAAATTGTGGTAAACTGATTCTTTTTGGGACTTATTCAATCCTACCCCTCTGAAAAATATGACATTCAGTTGGGGTTACTATTCCCGAATATATGGAAAAATAAAAAATGTTCCAAACCACCAACCAGATCTATGAATTTATGAGTCAATATGAATCTAGATCCGCACAACCATCGTGAAAATTTTCCCAAAGGGATAGCAAATCCAGGTGTGGAACTTACCAGCAAAACAAACCCAACAACCAGTATTAAATTAATAGATCCCAAGATTTGCAAAAGCTGTGATAATCGAGGTCTCCGCTGTCCGGCCATGCCTGTCATACTGCTTGAGAACAAAATTCCCGGCATGGTGCCAGCCCGTCCCTAATGAAAAAGGTGAGAATCCCCGAACTCATCAATCAAACAGCATGTACCCTCTGGTAAAAATACAAACTATGGAAAATCACCATGCTATCAATGGGAAAATCCACTATAAACGGGCCATCTATACCATGGCTATGGAACAAATAACCAGAGGCTAATATCCATTTGAATCCCCATATGTTGCTTAGGGGTTTAAACCCGACCAATGCTGGTTTTTTATAATCCCCTGTAATTAACTCATCATCAACCAACCATCCTTTGGTCAACTATCTCCCCATCTCTTTCATGGTCAAACAAAATAAAAACCCTATAGATGATGATCAATCCCTTTTGTTTACCATGTTAAAAACCACTCTCATCAGACTCATCATCAACACCATATGTTAAACCATGTAGAAAACCAAATGTTTCTACCCTCTGGTAAACTAACAGTTTGCTATTGAAAATTGCCATTTATAGTGGATTTACCCATTGATAGCATGGTAATGTTCCATAGCTACGTTAATTTACCGGAGGATAACGGTGAAACACCCATGAAACCGTCACTTTCCATCTTTGGCGCCTTGATCTGGAGCAGGGGACTGTAGCTCCCCGTCTTCCACACAACGGTCTCCTGGGGCGGCCAGTGTTCATGGGACGGCAGTGGGATTCTCTGGATGCAAAAAATGCTGGTTTCACCAATAGATCTAGAAACATCGCCAAAATTCAGGAATTAAAATCACTAAGAACTTCGAATAAGCACTAAGCACCAACAAATCATATAAATCATGTGCAATCAGCCCAACAGAGTCAGGACAAAGAAAAACAACAATGGTTGCGTCAATTCCATTAACCATCAAATCCAGTGACATCCCAGTAAATCTCAGTAGACCCAGTGAAAATCCCAGGAAAATCCCTATACCCTCTGGTAAACGTTTACAGTTTGCGAACTTAAAAATACCACATTGAAATAATGGAAATAAACCCATTAAAAATGGGTGGATCTTTCCATAGCTACGTTAATTGACCAAAGGGTAAAATTCACTGGAACGCCCCATCCGTTCGCATATCAACTGCTTCGCCGCCGAGTCACCCGTAACACTCCAGTGTCAAAACGGGTTGGCGGCTTCACTGAAAGCGGCCTTTCAAGCGTGGTTGTCGTCACATGGTTTTTGCTGGGAAAATAAGGGTTTTAATGGTGGTTTTAATAGTGGTTAATAGTGGTTAATAGGGTCACATGTTTTAATAGTGGTTTGAATAGTGGTTGGGAATGGTTAAATCATCCCTACATCATGTAGAATCACAGTAATAATGGCTAGCACTGGCTAATAACTGTGAGTAGTTGATAATGGTTATCAATTTCAATGGTGAATAACCACCCTAGACATCACTGTAGATTGTTCTCTGGACCAAGCAAAAATTGAGGGGATCAAAAACCCGAACTTTGTGAACTGCAAATCTTTGTATCATAAACAGCTAAAAACCACTGTAGATTGGCATCTTATATCAACAGACTTAGCGGATCGAAAAAGTTGGTCCACACATGTTTTTTCCGGTGTTTGTTGGTGGAAATAACTAGGTTCATTGCTGGAATTAAGGGGAAAATATCGAACTAGACGGGATCATAAAGCAGCAAATACAACAAAAAAGGGGGGCCCTTTCACCCCAAAGTACAATCGGAAACAGGATCGAAGTCGCTAGACGCCCACAGCATGAAAGGGAAAAGAAGCTAAGTACAGCAGAAGCCCAGACAGAATGCAAAGCATTGCCGAAATTTGCCAAACATCAAATTTCAAATTTCTATGATAGTGATTTTCAATGAATCATGATAGAAATTTGATGGGTAGGCAATGCCAAACATCAATTTTTTCTCATCATAATTCCTTGAAAATCACTACAGAGAATCAAGCGGGGGAACCCAACCATCCCACAAAAAGAACATGGAACATCTATGAATTTATGCTGGTTGGTGGTTTCAACCTACGAGTACCCCTCTGAAAAATATGAGTTCGTCAGTTGGGATTATCATTCCCCATATATGGAAAGTCATAGAATTCATGTTCCAAACCACCAGCCTGTTATGGATATGAGTCAATATGAATCTAGATCCACACAACCATCGTCCAAATTTTCCCAAAGGGATAGCAAATCCTGGGGAACTGACCAGCAAAACAAACCCAACAATCAGACACTCCAGAAAACCAAGTGTCAAAACTATATATATATATATATCCACCTATATCCACCATTTCCACCAGAAAAGAGACATAGACATAGATTTCCCATAGATTTCCCATGATATTCCCAGGTTTCCCCAACTCTGGCGCTCCATGGCGAGTTTCCCATTGCGCACCTGGTTCTGCCTGGCATGAAATGACAGAACTTGCCCAGCTGCACCACCAGACCTGGCTGCTGGAACTCCCCAGGCCGGAAAATCGGGAAATCCACAAGAAACAACGGGAATTCATAGGGATTTTCATGGGAACATGGCTGTTTTTTGGGGGAAAACTGTTTCTGGTTGGTGGTATACCTACCCAACCCCTCCGAAAAATATATGAGTTCGTCAGATTGGAGAAAATCATCCCAACGACATTGGGGAAAATTCAAAATTCCATGGTTCCAAACCACCAAGCAGATATAGATAGATAACATAGCCATGGAATCCATGGTCCATTTATAGATAATAAACATGCTGTTTTTGGGGAGAAATCCATGGAAGTTCTGCATCTCCATGCCCAAGATGTTATTGACACCCATCCAGGCGAGAAAGTCCTCCATTTTTCATGGGGATGTCCTATGTCCTAGCCACGTTTGAGGGTATAACCATGGTTGCTGTATAAACCCCCATAAGTTGGGATATAACCTCCATAGCTATATAGTTATATATCCACTTGCAACTGGAACTGCACTTCCAAGTAGGGATGCGGAGGTTTCCTGAAATCGGGGTACTTCTAAATCGTTCATGTCTATAGGATTTTTTATTGTAAATCATCCAGCTATTGGGGTACCCCCATGACTATGGAAACCCCCATATAGATGGTACATATGTGGGCATTTCATGTACCCGAATGCTAAACGGCACTTTGTTTGTGGGGGAGTATCCCCAACCACTCAAAAAATTGGCGAGGCGAAAGCACCTCAAACAACTGGTTACCCTCCGGAAAAAAAAAAAAACATGCCAAAAGTGTATATGAAACATTGACTGGTTACCCTCCAGAAAAAAAAAGGATCATATATTTATAATGGAAATTCCTACCAAAAACCATGATTTTATGACTTAGGAAACCATGGAAGATCCTGAGATCATGAAAGTTTCAGATCATGTTCCAGGGAAAGCCCGCACGAGTTTCCATCGGCCAAGCCCAAAAAATCCTGGCCTTGTGCTACTAAATAGCCCAGGATCATCCTCAGCCAAGGCTAGACGGAGAGGGAAATGCAGAGCTTCAGTGGAGTGTGGTGACGGATATGACGGAAGAGTAGTTCGTGAGCAGGGAGCTGACGTGACAAGAGGAAGATCGTTAAAGATACCCTCTGGTAATTTAACATAGCTATGGAAAATCACCATTTTTAGTGGGAACACTCACTATAAATGGCCATTTTCAATAGCTATGTTAAATTATCGTTAAAGATAGGGAAAACCAACGCAGCTGCAAGGAAACAGCAAGTGCGGCAAGAGAAAGAAGCAGACAAATTTGGAGCTGGCCACCGCATCCCTGAGAGTTGCCTCAAAAAGGTTCGGGCCAGTGTACGACCTGATCGCCTGGGCTTGCTGGGCAGAGCCCTTTTGCCCTGGACACAGAGCATGGCAAGCAGCCCTAATGGACACTGCCGATTCGCTCCACAACATGGCACAGCAATGTGTTCCAAGTCCTGCTCAGCGTTGTACTGGTTGCCTTGATCAGCCATGTCAGCGAATGCATCGAGCACCATCAAGAGACGTGGTTTGTGCTTGACAGATAATGATAGATCGATAATATGATTTTTCGGCGTTCCAAATGGAGGATCTATTCTGATATAGGACATAATGGATAATCAACCATCAATTAATATGGGGATATAACGCAGAGATAACTGGGAACTGGGATTGCTTTTTGGGGGGCTCTGAAGTCATTGGGGGATCCCCAGTCGTCACCATGTTTCAATACGAAGTCATGGTTATTTACGACTTGGATGCTTTGGGGTACATGACTTGGGAAACCCCTGAAATCTCTCAAGATGAGATTTCTCTGAGATCAACGGTCAGTTAAATGGTCGAGATTTAAGCAGCTACTATGGTGACTTTTCATGGGATATGATGGGAATAGTTGGGATCGACAGTGATTTCATCCCAGCCTGTTACTGTAGTCCTTTTTAAGGTAGATCGAGCTCCAGTCATCTTGGAAATTGTTTGTTTTCTGGTCATCGTGGTCCTCCCAATTTGCGGCATTCGAAATTGAGGAAAAGCTCCAGCATGGATTTAGGGGCAGCCTATTTTCGGACAAACCCACAAAAAAAAAACGTTTCTTCCTTGAATCATGTTAAATCCCCATTTCTGACGGTGAATCGAGATTGCTGGTCGCATCCTTGATGTTGATCCGCACCATATGGTGACTATGCAAATACTATGCGTGGGATCATTCTCCCAAAAATCCCACAGTGCATCAGGAGAATCCCCGATTGAACCTCTGGTAATTTGACACAACTGTGGAGAATTGCCAATGAAGTTTAAAGATTCACCTACTAAATATGGAGATGTTCCAGTTCGCAGACTGTTCGTCATTACCAGAAGGTAAACGTCATTGTATCCAAAAGTACAAAACATCAACCAAAGGTTGGTCCACTACAAGGTGGCCCCAAACGTTATGTTTATTGGTTTATAAACCCCATTAACTATAGATATGTCACCTATAAACCATCAGTATTGCAGTTATGTTCACCAACTTAGCTATCTTGGGGGCACCACCTTGCAGTGCACCTATTTTTCCCCGAACATCCAAAGTAACTCCCAGTTCTGCGTGAAAGCAGAGCGAGCCCGGGTTTTGATCCCAAAATCATGCCCAAGTGGCTCAGAAGAGCAGCGGTTTTAGACAAAAAGAATGATCTGGGTAAATTATAATATTTCACCAACCTGAATATTTCGGCCATTTGGGGATGATTCCGCTTACTAACTATGATTTCCAGTGAGGTCATAGTGAGGTCGTTATTAAATTTACCCAGAATGATGATCCGGTTGGGAAGAAATCAGAGATGACCCAGTCTATTCAACTATTCCCATCGGATCCCTTTCTACCACCATTGTGGTTGGTTAACCACCTCAGTATTTTGGACAGAATTTATCTCTGAAAAAATGAAGATCAAAACCCTCCAACTAGCGATGGAAATTGAATCTTGAGTTTTTAATTGGGATATTTCGTGGGATATCGTGGGAATATAATTGGGATATACTTGGATCAGAATACTGCATAGTCCCTGAAAAAAAAAAAAACTTCTCGTTTCATGGAAAAATATCCTATTCATTTTCAGAGTCCCCTCCGGTCATCGCACATGCTTTGCTGCAAAATCACCCATTTCTGTTGTTTTTCCAGCTAGAGACACTGGAGGTCACAAAAAATCCATCAAAAATCCCACAGCATGGGGCCCCCCAGTTATGTGAATGTTGGTTTATAAACCATGAATAAATCCCCATTAACTAGTTCGTTATATCTACCATAAACCATAGAATTCAGCCACTTATAAACCAACTTAGCTATCTTGGGGCCCCATCCTGCAGCAAAATCCCAGGATTTCTGGATACTTACAGAGTGCGTGCGATTGGTTTGGCATTCGTGTCATTCGATTGGAAATAAGCGATCCAGTCGAAGCACCAAATTGTTTCAATTTCCCCATATCAATGGGAATTTCAGGATCCTAAAATGGAGGTACTCTACCATATAAGGCCATATTTTATGGGGATGTTCCCTTACATAGGCCTTACATAGTCCTTATATATGGTACCTCCAATTTAGGATCCTGGAATGGCCATTGACCATATCAAGAGCCCCCAGTTGCAGTGGATTTCCCATCGGGAATTCATTGAAACAAAATCACCGACTCAACAAAGCCAAAAAATATCTCCGAATTGCCAACGACAATTCGGATTTTCCAGTTCTGACCGCCGAAGAACTTGAACTCTTCTTCCGTGGAGAAGCTATTCTTGATCTCCTACACTGTAGTTCTCTCGAAGCGAAAGACAGTTTTCATCGGGAGAAATTGATGGTTTTGACAATCGGAAGCAAAACTCTGGTAATTTGTTACATAGCTATGGAAGCCATGGCCCATTTAGTTCGTGAGTTTTCCCATTAAAAATGGTGGATCTTTCCATGGTTTTGTGTATGTTTACCAGGCCGGGTATCCTATCTAAAACATGTTTTTTTTTCTGACTGGTTGCTGAATATGTTCCGGCTGTTTATATGGCCATGCTTGTTTTTTATCAGTGCTGCCAGGTTCTTAGTTGGCTGTTCACTGACCAAAAATCTCCACCACAAGCCCCAAGTACTGGTTGGTTGATCGGACATTATAAGTTGTCATATGTTGTCACTATCCGAAATACACCAGGTACCCTCTGGTAAACATACAAAAAGCTATTGAAAATGGCCATAGAAATAGTGGATTTTCCCATTAAAAATGTGTTTTCTTTAGTTGTTTGTATGTTTACCAGAGGGTAAATCTTGTGCTTTGCTGGTCCCCTGCAAAGCCATTGTTGTAGGGGAATAAATCGTAACCCCATCTAAACTGTAAGGTGGCAAAAGAATGTAAGTTTATGGCTGCAATCTATCTACTTAATGACGTCCTATCATAACTACAGGATGGTGCCCCCCAGTTATAAGTCATAAGTTGATTCATATACCACATTAAATAATTCGTTATATCTACCATAAACCATAGAATTCAGCCACTTATAAGGCGTTTCTGAACGCTATCGACTGGGAGCCCCTGTAGTGAACAATGGTCTTTTGGTGACTGATTGACCGATTTCCATCAACCTGGCTGACCACCATGGAATCGGCTAGGAGCTTGGACTTTCTTTGCCAAGTTCAGTTCCGGCCATTTTGGACACAACATGAAGATAGCTTTTTTGATCGGTGACTAAAAATAATCCTTTAGATGGAGGAAGGTTGTGTTGTTTAATTGACGATATCCTCTGGTAAGTTGACATAACTATGGAAAATCACCATTTATAGTGAAATTTCCCATGACAAATCGTGGATCTGTCCATAGTTATGTAAACGTTTACCAGGGGGTATGCACTTTTGGGGAGTGAGATGAGCACGAACCATCCATTTTGCGTCAAAGATGACAACCCTGGACTCCAAAAAGACTCTGTTGATTGACTTCCGGGGGTACCCGCAACATATATTTGTACCCTTCGTAGACTTGAATCAGGGTTCTAATCAATGTTTTTTTAAGGTACTGACAGGGGGACTAACATGTTTAAACCCTGCTGATACCCTCTGGTAAACTAACAGAGTTACGGAAAATCACCATCTTTAATAGGTAAGTCAACTAGAAATGGGCCATTTTCAATAGCTATGTAACAAATTACCAGAGCTTCATTGATGTTCAAAATGAGTAACTGGCATCCCATTCACATTCCCAAAAGAAAACGATGTTATCCTCTTGATATTCCCTAAATGTCCAATGTTTAGTGGTTAAATCGCATCTATTTCCATATAACTCCCATCAAGTCTGACGAAAAAAAACATCGCCCCTCCTTCATCTGCTTCCCCTTGTGGAACAAGGTCAAAGCCTCTGTGAACCTCAGTCGATGGGATAGCCTGGCATTTTTCGGGGGAAGATGGATGTGTCCAGATCAAAATGGTGACAATTTTCAGGGTCTACCCTCCAGTAAATTAACATAGACCCTGGCAGATGGGGGCTGGAAGACTAGTTTCCAATAGAAATTGATTGTTTTCAGGGTCTACCCTCTGGTAATGACTGCTGCATAGCTATGGAAGCCATGGCCCATTTAGTTCGTTGATTTACCTGCTAAAAATGGTGATTTTCCATAGCTATGTTAAATTACCAGAGGTATATGTTCATTAAGCAGAGGGTTTTTTATGCGAATATCATATGCGAATATCATATGGGATGTAATTGGGATATGAATGGTATACACTTGGGATACCCTCTGGTAAACTAACAGTTTGCTATTGAAATGGCCATTTAGTTCGTGAGTTTTCCCATTAAAAATGGTGGATCTTTCCATAGTTTTTTTGTATGTTTACCAGGCCGGGTATAAGAAACCAATGATGGCGCAGAAATAGTGCCATGGTCAAGTTAGCTGGGATTAAAATTGGGTATGGTCGTCATCCAACCATTGTGAAAGGGATGTCAAACAAACGATTTCAAGAAGAATGGGTATAGCAAACCCCTATGAAAATGGTAGATGACATCCCCCAAGATTGGTATTTCACACCCGGTTTGCCCGGGCTCTATTATACTTGTATTCTACATTGTTATTTATATATATATATATTGCATTATTATTTTTTGAAAGTATATGTTATAAAACTATATACTATATATAATTATTTATATAATTTGGCTACTTATTTATTCATTTATGTTTGTTTTTGTTTGTTTATCGGTTTGTTTGTTTGTTTGCTTGTGTGTGTGTGTTTCTTTGTTTTTGTTTGTTTCTTTGTTTTTGTTTGTTTCTTTGTTTTTGTTTGTTTGTTTGTTTGTGGGTTTATTCGTTTCTGTATATTAATTTATCTACATTTCGACCTCTGTTCCAAACCATTCAGCAGGGTAGTTGAATTGTTGTCTACGATGTTTGCCAATTTTTGCGTGGTATTTTCAAACTTGCAGCGTTTACAACCGTTTTTGGCTAAAATCGGATGTACTTCTATCCCGGTTCCGATGCTTTTAATAGCAACCCCGAAATAAATGGAAACCCGGAAATATGAAGTAAATATCATCCCATTCACATCATGGAAATATTCTTTGGCATCTTTTTCTTGGGTTCATGAAGGGTTCACTGAAGTTCACTGCGCAATAGATACCCTTAAAAAGCCGGTTGAACGAATCGTGGGTCCTAGCGACGTGGTCATCGACTTCTTGTCCTTGAACTCAGGGGTCGGATGTTTCTTTCTCCAGTCCTGGAGCAAAAGATGGACAGATCCTGCAGAAATGGAAGCGGATCCAGAAATGGGACCTACTTGAAACCGAGAACAATGGCGATCTTAAGGAGACTTTGTCGGGGATTGGGTAGACTACCAAGAACCTGCTTATGGCGATCCGGGGACCAAGAATGTGGTCCCAGAAAATATGTACACTCCAACCCAGACGATCGCCCACCACTTAGCTTCGGGATCAAATCTGCCACACCCTCATAGAAATCCCGATGGAAATCTATTGATGACCATCTAAAGGACTGAGCTCATGCAACCATGGTTACCCTCTGGTAATTTAACAAAGCTATTGAAAATGACCATCTATAGTGGATTTTCCCATTAAAAATGATGATTTTCCATAGTTATGTTAGTTTACCAGAGGGTACTATTTAGAGGATCATCCCACTTAGTCTGGAATTATCCCACTGAGAAGCCCATCAAATCCCGTTACATCCCATCAAATCCCAGTAAATCATATATTAAAATCCCATTGAATCCCATTGAATGTCTCCTTAAACCACCATTAAATAGCAATAATTCCCATGAATTTCCAATGAAATCACCATTTACAGTGGTTAAACCTCATAAAATCACCATGAAATCCCTGGCAAAATCACCATGTCCCTAGTAAAATCACCATTTTCCCTAGTAAAATCACCATTTTCCCCATTTTCCCCAGGGAAAATCGCCATTTTCCCATGGTTTTCCCATGGTTTCCATCGTGCCCCATCTGCCCATCGTCGTCCCCGTCCCGAAAGTGCTGCGCCGCCAAGGACTCGCGTCCGGTGTCAGCGTTGGGCGCCAAGGCCACGCGGATGTCGTCGCGAAAGACGTTCACCTTGGACCATGGGAGGGTGAACGTATATATCTATATAGATTCTATTGATATATATATAGATTAATATAGATCAATATATCAATAGATATATCTATATCTCTATATATCAATAGATCTCTATGTATCTATATATCTATATATCTATATATCTATATATCTATTGAAATATCTATATAGAGATAGATATTTCAATAGATATATAGATATATAATGATATATAGAGGTATAAACCAACTTAGCTATCTTGGGGGCCTCAAATTGTAGAGATAGATATTTCAATAGATCCATCTATATGGTGTATAGATATCATATAAATGTGAAGACCATGAAAGATCATGTAGATGATATAGATAATGATATCTATAATCTATATATATATATAATCTATAGATAATGATAGCAAAAATGTTGGGATATAGATGATATCGTAGATAGATATAGATGTAAATGTGTGTGTGTGTGTCTGTACTGTGCATATAGTTCCATTTGTTGAAAGATATTCAATATGTTTGTTCAAATAGAGGATGCAAATTCCGCGTGTTCGGATATAACTTGCGTAACCATCAAAAAATGAGTTGTTGCTGGACAACCATTTGGTGCTTTAGACCACACATTTCTGGTCATAGTGGGGATAGTTTATTCTTGACCACCTTAACTATGATGATAATTTACAATATGTATACGACAACAAAAAGTACTAAAAGTCCATATGATTATTTTTTCATATAGTGATGTCAATAACATTTATGGAAATACTATATGAAAATAACATTTTTTTTGTATAGACTGATGTAATGCCAATTTAACTTGGATCGTTTGGAAATTTTGGAAGTCAGGGATCGCCACTGACCAACGGAATGGGATTGGTGACCAGCGGAAACACCAAAGCAGGAAGGGAAAACATCCCAAGTTCAACCATAAGCCATGACAAATCCCATTTTTTCGAGGATTGAACAACAACCATAAGCCATTTTTTGGTGTAAACCCACGTTCAACCTATGACAAATCCCATTTTTTCGAGGATTAAACAACAACCATAAGCCATTTTTTGGTGTAAACCCACGTTCAACCTATGACAAATCCCATTTTTTCGAGGATTAAACAACAACCATAAGCCATTTTTTGGTGTAAACCCACGTTCAACCTATGACAAATCCCATTTTTTCGAGGATTGAACAACAACCATAAGCAATTTTTTGGTGTAAACCCACGTTCAACCTATGACAAATCCCATTTTTTCGAGGATTAAACAACAACCATAAGCCATTTTTTGGTGTAAACCCACGTTCAACCTATGACAAATCCCATTTTTTCGAGGATTAAACAACAACCATAAGCCATTTTTTGGTGTAAACCCACGTTCAACCTATGACAAATCCCCTTTTTTTGAGGATTGAACAACAACCATAAGCAATTTTTTGGTGTAAACCCACGTTCAACCTATGACAAATCCCATTTTTTCGAGGATTAAACAACAACCATAAGCCATTTTTTGGTGTAAACCCACGTTCAACCTATGACAAATCCCATTTTTTCGAGGATTAAACAACAACCATAAGCATCCATAAGCCATTGTTTGGTGTAAACCCACGTTCAACCTATGACAAATCCCATTTTTTCGAGGATTAAACAACAACCATAAGCCATTTTTTGGTGTAAACCCACGTTCAACCTATGACAAATCCCATTTTTTCGAGGATTAAACAACAAACCATAAGCCATTTTTTGGTGTAAACCCACGTTCAACCTATGACAAATCCCATTTTTTCGAGGATTAAACAACAACCATAAGCCATTTTTTGAGGATTAAACAACAACCAGAAGCCATTTTTTGGTGTAAACCCACGTTCAACCTATGACAAATCCCATTTTTTCGAGGATTAAACAACAACCAGAAGCCATTTTTTGGTGTAAACCCACGTTCAACCTATGACAAATCCCATTTTTTCGAGGATTAAACAACAACCAGAAGCCATTTTTTGGTGTAAACCCACGTTCAACCTATGACAAATCCCATTTTTTCGAGGATTAAACAACAACCATAAGCCATTTTTTGGTGTAAACCCACGTTCAACCTATGACAAATCCCATTTTTTCGAGGATTAAACAACAACCATAAGCATCCATAAGCCATTTTTTGGTGTAAACCCACGTTCAACCTATGACAAATCCCATTTTTTCGAGGATTAAACAACAACCATAAGCCATTTTTTGGTGTAAACCCACGTTCAACCTATGACAAATCCCATTTTTTCGAGGATTAAACAACAACCAGAAGCCATTTTTTGGTGTAAACCCACGTTCAACCTATGACAAATCCCATTTTTTCGAGGATTAAACAACAACCAGAAGCCATTTGTTGGTGTAAACCCACGTTCAACCTATGACGAATCCCATTTTTTCGAGGATTAAACAACAACCATAAGCCATTTTTTGGTGTAAACCCACGTTCAACCTATGACAAATCCCATTTTTTCGAGGATTAAACGAAACCTTTGTTTTTTGATCGTAAATGAATCACAAACTTTCGATTTAAGGCCAGTTTGGATTTGAACCTCCCAAGAAATCCCAGGAATCTTTACAGCTACATCTCCAAATGTCCAGTCATCTACATGGAAGACAGCAATGCCCAGTACATCGGTAGTCGTGATGGATGAACATCACTGGAGTTGCATGTTGCTTCCGAACACCCCATGAATACTATAGATATACCTACCATGAGCATCAATAAACCATCGAATTCTATGAACTGTTCATCAACTGGGCGCGATTTCGCGTTTTTTCCAGGACCCCATAAACTGTGATGGGAACTGTAAACTGGTTGGTGGTTTTAACCATCTTGAAAAATATGAGTCAATGGGAAGGATTATCCCATATATTATGGAAAATAAAAAATGTTCCAAACCAGCAACCAGTAAAAAGACCTGCACCAAGTCGCCAATTTGGCCTTCTTGAGCACCACCAAATGTCTTGCAGCTTCTTGCAGGTGATGCATATCCAGCCTGACGATGGATTTTTCATACCGTCCAGATGTAGCATCCCGTTGTGAATTCCCGCAAATATGATGGTAATATATGGTAGTAGTATGGTGGTACTATATGGCAATAATATGATGGTAATATAATGATGGTAATATGAATGATGGTAACATGTTTTGAAATTTGACGCACTCCGTTTTATGTGTTACCACTTTTAACTGTTACCACTTTAAGTCAATGAAAAAACCTGAAAATATTTATGTCAGTACGGCAACCCAATGCATCCAGAAGCAAAAAAAACAAGGATGAAAAACACAAACCGCTAGAAACTGCGGCGCAAAAATGTTCATATACCACTGAACAACAACAACAACAACAACAACAACACCAACAACAACAACAACAACAACAACAACCACAACGACGACAACGACAACGACAACAACAACAACAACAAGAAGAAGAAGAAGAATATGCCCGGATGGATTCAAAACAATGAAATTCAGTCATGTCCAAAAGAAGGACACCTATTCTAGCTATGAATCCCGATTGTGAATGGAGAAACCATCCCATCATCATGGGATAAATCTCTCGAACCCCAAAATTTTCCATATAAAATAATATAAAATACATGTGAATTCCATTATACCCATCCAAATTCCATATAAATTCTGTGTCAATCCCTATAAAGAAAACCTGTTTCCAAAGAGTTCAATGAATCAAACAAAATATAGTCCTCATATGTTCCAAATAAATCTCATCATCCCCATCTTCAATGACAAATACATAGCATCCATGACGACTGGATGACAACCAGGGGGAACCCCCATGACTGAAAAACATGCGGAAACCGCCATGTTTTTCCAAAATGGAGATGGTTATACCATGTATAAATTGCTTGTTTAACCATCTACAATTGACATTCAATAGGCTATACTGGTTATACCATGTTTCAAACCTATTTTTACAATGGGAATTAAGTAAAAATCCGATTTATAGTACATCACAAGTATACATATGTATAATATATATATATATTTATTTATTTATATACATATATATATATATACATATATACGTATACATATATATACATATAATCATATATATATACAATTATATACACATACGTGTATATATATACCATTCAATAATCCAATGTATATCTATAACCCCCATATGTTCATCTATTTTCCACATCCCAGACGCCCGGTTCGAAGGTGGAGTTCCGACAAACTCAAGGCTGGATCTGCATGTTGCACCAACGTCCGCACCTTGGTTGGAACAAACAACGGGGTTTTGATGGTTGTACATGGTCTTTTTACTGTGTTATCTTAAATATATGTGTTTTGTTTATCTGGTTTGACATGTTTGTGAGATATGGATTGACATTGGTTTATATGTCTTTTATTGTTTTTTAATGGTTGTTCAACCGTTTTTTGTTTATGGTTTGTAGGGTCATTTTTTCCCATTTCATGTGCGCAAAAGTGTGATCCAATACTTGAATGGACACTTACCGTGGATGGTTGCGAAATCCGAATCACCAGTTGATAGATGGTTAGTTTATCCCATGATTTTGTTTGGCAACCATCCTTTTGGTGTTGCAGGATTTCTTACAATTGACGATTGATGCTTGGAAAACCTCCTGCCACAAAGCACACAGATCCAGCCAAAGCTGCTCATGTCACTCATCAACCAAATTCAGCAACACTGACATCTTCAGCGCAAAAAAGAAATCCATCCGGGGGTTTAACTCCCAGCAAGGTATAGTTTCGTCAATCTAATTCAGAGCGTTACATGGAATAAATTGGACACGTTTGCAAAATCTGGTCTTGAAACCATTCAAAGCCAAACCAGTTGTCCTCGATTCCGCCGCACTACCACGTTGCGCACGAAACACGTGGAGATCCACCGCTGCAAGTCGGCACAACGGGATTTGTCATGTCATGGGAAGCGGTTTTCAATGCTGCTGGTGGTGTCTCGCACATCAATGCAGCCACCAAGGCTGTTGTGCTGGTGCCACAGGATCAAATGGTCCATGGGAAAATCTTGCGTCGGTCGGAAAATGTTGCTGTATTGGCCCCCCCTATCTCCAAGCAAAGGTTTGATGGCAACCCATTGGCTGGCGCGGTTTCAGCGCATGGCTTCTCCAACTGTCGCCCTTGAAGCGATCTCTCTGAAGGTTGGCTTTCCTGAATCGGTTGCAGCGTGACATCGCGAGATCCATGGTCCACATCAGCCTCTGGGTAATGTTTCAGGTGATGTTTCTATGTTTCTCCTTCTCGAGAAGAGACTCCGCTCCATGGCAATCGTCTGAAATTTGGCCAGTTCGCCTGGGGCTGCTGCGACTTGGAAGCCCATGCTCCACAATTTTCTCTGCAAATTCGACTGTGGAAAAGCTATGAAAAGGTGGCAGAGCTATGGCCCGAAATCCGACCTGTCTGAGAAACTATGGTCACGCTTCAAAGTCAAGCTTAGCGCAGAATGCTTCATTTGGAACCTGGCCTACCTCTACACAATTTAAGTGTGCCTCGCACGACTCTGTCAACTTTCTCAATTTCTGCTGCGCGCTTTCTACACCGGATGATGAAACGCAGCTCATACGTCAACCTTTTGCTCGCAGTTTTAAGCTACAAAAAAGGCTGAACTCTTGAGAAAAATTCGAGCTGGAAAATTCAGAAATATGGGAGTGTCCGAAAAAAAACATCCGGTCTATGGTCACACTTATCCGACTTATCTAGTGTCCTTTATCGGACCCGTTATGAAATCTCACCAGATCACGGTGATCCAGTCCTGAGGATCCAACCACCTCATCAGTGTCGGGCCCCAGCTCTGATTCAATCTCCTCGCACATCCAACGGCACAATTTGGTAGGTCCGGGCTATCCATGGGAAATCCATAGGAAAACCATGGGGAAAACCATAGGAAAACCAGAAAACCATGGGGAAATCATGAGTTTTTTTGGGGGAAAATGATGGGAACATCATCTATAAATGGAAATAATGTTGGTAAAACGATGCCATAAACCGCCCTAAACCACCATATTTTGATGGGAACCATACCACACATAGTGATTTAGGGGATGGTAAAGATTATTGTTTTGACCACGAAAAAAGATGATCTATCTTGGGGGTTGCAGGTTTCAGATTTTACATGGACAGAACATTGGTTCAATGGGAATTTCAGGATCCTAAAATGGAGGTACTGTACCAGATAAGGCCATATTTTGTGGGGATATTCCCTTACATAGGCCTGAAAAATAGGCCTTATATATGGTAGGTACCTCCAATTTAGGTTCCTAAAATGGACATAACATTGGTATAACTGTTTTTTTTAAGGTCTGCATTTTGTCTGCCCTCTGATGAATTCCCTCTCATCTTCTGGCGAATCAGGTGGCTGTGACCTGGGGTCTTTGCCAATGACAAACTTGGTATAACCCATGGTAATTTTCAGCCCCATCTTTAAGAGGGCCACATGGGGCCCCGAACTACGGTGAAATCTATCCACAAACCCAAATGGGGATTCTGCCCAATACATCCCAATTTTGGGAAGGATCAAACCCCCTTACTAAACAGTTAGGCTAATTTTTGGCAGCATCTAAATGTATCAAGACATTAGCTTGATACCTCCAGATGTTTACATGGTTTCCGCCATCCGAGCCCTCAAAAAAATGAACAGATCTGCATGTGATCTGACGCATAAAATCTTTCCCTGGGATCTTGGAAAAATGTGGCAGTGTGTCAAAACCTTGTACCGCTGTAGTTCACATCAAAATAGCTGGGATTTATGGATGTTCATCCCCCTAAAAATGGTATTAATAGGTATTGATCCATACCAATGTCAGAAAGTGACATGTAAAAATGTTTACGTCCAAGCTCCAGAAGCTCCAGATATCAGATACCTCTGCAGAGTAAGAAAAATCAGCTGAGAAGGAGATGACATATATTCGGTACCCATAAAAAAGTGGGAAAAACACGTGCAAAAAGATTATCCTCTGGTAATCAAAATAGCTAATGTGGTTAGAAAACATGTTAAAACAATCATAAATCATTCCCCAGTCATCACCAATTTTATAGGTGCTATGGTTACCATTCCCAGTCATGGGTGGTTTATGACATTGGTTTAACCACATTAATTTAATTTTACCATTATATCCCATTATATAGCTCATTATATATATACCATTTATATACCATTTACATACAATATTGTGATAACTCAATGGCCATCAAGTTTATTAATCACCATCAATCATCCATTCATCACCCAGTAATCAGCATTATTAACCACTATTCACCATTATCCATTGGTTATCCATTGGTTAACCTCAATTGGTTTATGACATTGTTTTAGCCACATTAGATGATGAACGGTAAATCATCAAACTGGCCATGCGTCCATCCCGCGGAATGGCGTTTCCGCGCCTCCCGCGCACGGAAGAGCGAGATCCCTTGCACGGCCGAAGGGAGAGAAGGCGCGTCCTAGCGCCGAGTGGTCAAAATGTCAGGGTAAAACATCGAACGTCCGAGATCTTCCAAGGGAAAATGATGGATCAACTATGATTTTAGTTGATTTTCTCCGGAGAAAATGATGGATATTGATGTTATCTTGCGGATTGAGTGATTTTCACCAAAACTGGCGACGTAACTTGATGATACCCAGCCTGAAGCCACAAGTGGCGATGAATTTTTACGCAGTGATCCATCCAACAGCGAAATGCAACTGGCGCCACTTTTTTTGGAGCAGACTACCAGTAACTTACTCCAATCCAACCTTACCCTCTGGTAGTTTAACATAGCGAACTAGAAAATCACCATGCTATTAAGAACAGTAAACCATCTATTTCTATGGGCCATGGCTTCCAGTTCGCAAACTGTTTACTAAGCGCATCTCTCCTGTTTGAACTCGTGGTAGCGGTACAGTGCTTCACCTGTGCATCCCCAGACGAGTGGAGAATATCTCATCGGGATAAACCCGTTTAACAAGATATAAATACTATGCATTGTATATATATATATATATGAGGGTGTATATATATATATGTATGAATATACATATAATTAAATATAGTGTAATTATTATCTGGATCCACTATATCGTCTCCAATCATATCTCATTAATAAAATCTGGATAACCTGTGATTTACCCCAAAAGTTCGGGCATTTCCGGTGAGATCGCACTGAAGTCATCGTAAATTTTCCAGTTTTTTTCAGATCATGGTGAAGCTAACGTTGAAAATTAAGACGAAAACTAATTTTTGGCTGGTCAATGTACTAATTTTACCACTGATAGCAAAAGATTA